GTCCACAGCCTTTTCTTCTCATTTCTGCCCTGAATTCAAACTAGTGTCTTGAGTGCTTTCTGACTATACTAGTATTGAGGCTTTAACTGACACAAAGCATTTTTTAACAAAATGAAAATCAGCCTTCAGTACATATGAACAAGTAATAGGTTTATTCCATGCTGAAAAAAGGAAGAAAGAAAACACAACGTTTCGGCCGTGGAGCCTTCTTGAGGTGTGAGGAAGGCTCCACGGCCGAAATGTTGTGTTTTCTTTCTTCTTTTTTTCAGCATGGAATAAACCTATTACTTGTTCCTTTGCAGCCTACGCATGCTGACGCAGCTCCCCACCTGAACTACTTCAGTACATACGGCTGATAATGCCAATATTGTGTTTTATTCCGAATCCAAAATTTTGTAGCAGCAAGTATACAAATTTCCCTCAATGCTGTGAACGAATTTTATATAGGCACCTTTGCGAATCTTGAGAAGATGTTGGGCAAGATGCAGCAGACTCGTCTTTTCAAGGGCTGTACTGTAACTGTGCAACAAAACCAGGGTTTGCTTTCCAATCACATTAGCTACTTTTCTTTGTGATGGATTGGACCTCTGCCTGGAAAATAAATACACTGCACTAGAGAGTTCCCTCTTTGCTGTGCATGCTCTCCTGAAACACATCTGTACTTGAAAACAGTGCCCCAGTCACTAGGCATGAGCAAAAGCACCCTGACAATCGAACTTGGAACAGCCATCTAACCCAGGAGGTCTTGACTTGAACTGAGTGGACGAAGGCAGATGTTGATCTACAGTATGTATGGTGAGATCTGGAATAGAAACTGAACAACTCAACCTTCTCAACAAATTAGCCTGTTTAAGGCATCAGGCAGAGGTTTTATGAAGATTTCATGAAGGCTGATCTTCTCACATTTCACAGTCGAGCAAGGCCAGTTAAAAATTCAGAAGAGAGCTTTCTAAAGAAAACCGGTTTTGTGCTAGAAGTGGCGGTGCTAATCTTTCTTCTGTTCGAGAAATTCCAATGCAAGTATACGATGAGGGTTACAGGAGTCACTATGTCAAAGATCATTTTCCTAGATTGTCTATAAAAAAAGATGCACGGACACTTTCGACAAAAAAAACAAAACTAAACTTGCTGACAAGGTCAAACTAAAAAAAACAGGTTACACATCTACTTCATATAAAGTCCTGCATATTTACTGGATCAAAGTGGGTTTTTTCATCTGAAAAAATATCTTAATTTCACTAGCATTCACTGGTAATATAAAGGGGTTACAATATAATAAGATCCTCCGAATGCCCAATGGTAAATGCTGTGCACGTCTGCCCAGGTAAACTGGTAAACAGATGTTTGGCCACAAGGAAGAGAGTGGTTATCACATCAGCCTGTTCTCGAACATACTGCCTTAATGTGACAGGATTTCATTTCTGCACTGATGAAGAAAACAGGGGAAAATCAGGTTTGTCAGTCTCTGCTTAGCCTTCTGTAGGCAGTGTAGGCTCAATGAGAGCATCTGTCACAGCAGGGGCCAAGGGCACATTTTGAAGGACATTTTGTGTGCAGTCTTTACTTTCCAGTACCGGTAAAAGAGTAGCAGCAATAAAGTGAGCTGATCAACAGCTCAAATCTCCCAAACTGGATTGGTGAAAAAAAAAAAACACACTGCTACACTGACATGTAAATCTTGAACAAGGGGCTCCTGCAAAATCAAGGTTAAAGGGGATATGCCACTAACACGTTCTCTTTTTCACCCATCACCCATTCTAAGTGCTTCATCCAATTCAGGGTCGTGGGGAAGATCTGGCCCAGCAAGCAATGGGTGCAAGGCAGGGTACACCCTGGACAGGACGTCCATCCATGGAATGACAGACACACACACTCACACCTGGGCCAGTTTTCCCAGAAGACAATCAACCCACCAGTACGTCTTTGGAGTGTGGGAGGAAACTGGAGCACCCATAGGAAACCCACATGAACATGAGGAGAACATGCAAACTCCACACAGACAGAACCCCAGGTCTGGAACTGAACCCGGAGCCCCAGCACTGTGAGGGAGCAATGTTAACCACTGAGATGCCCCACATTCTCTTTTACCTAAAGTTACTGGTAAACCGAGGATGGATGCCAGCCCTAGCACTCCAACATCCCAAAACTAAAAAACAACATCTTATTTCATACTGTGACTTTACACAGTGCAGCCAGCCAAGCTATAGGCTGACAAGAGACCCAGAGGAACAAGTATGAAATCTTGCACGTGTCAGAATGAGATCATCGGACCTTCAGTTCTTGAGCTAAAAAACAAAACAAGCAATACACTGAATGGAGAAAAATTGAAAACAGACGAGGGTGGGATATTGTGTGACGTCAAGGTGACTTTGGTAGCACAGAGCCACAGTTTATTGGTGAAAACCTGGGCAATATCCCTGTTCTCAGCTCCTCTGCCATAAGCAGGTTTTCGAATCCACTGCCTTGCAGGATTTTGGAACAACTAGCATCTTAATTTTAGTAATTGACGTAATTAGCCAAACAAAGACCTTGCTCTTCCACACATCTTGAAGTGGAACCAACTGGAATCTTCAGTTATTGACATTCCTTGCCTTAGGCTACTGTAACCCTGCTTTAAACAACCACAGCGTAGGTAGCCAGTATGCGTGTCAGAAGAGATTTGTTACAGACATACTGTAACAGCATCAAGGAAGGTGTTGGTTTCAGTCAATTCAACCACTGACGAATTTCCCTGTAAATCCTTTTGTAATTTTGTGCCCAACATCACCTATGTGTTGAAAAACCCCAGGCAGAAAAAGAAGCATCTTTCTTTCTCTTTTCAGCCTGAAAATGCTGACACAGTCCAAAAACTATTTTCGACAGTGAATTACGACTATTCCATCTCTCAGGTCCCTACCTGCACAAGACACGTGAGAGGATTACAGTATGTTGTTCTGACAATTATTAAGAGCCTGACCTGAAAACAAAGCAAAAGGGGAGTGTTGAATGTCGACTGCAATCAAACAGGTGGTAGATTTATTTTAGTTTTTAGAATTATTTTACTATAATTGCTCAATAAGAAGGAATGTAACCCTCTACTGCGTTTTATGTATTGTGTATTCGCGTTCAACTCAATTCCACTCATCTGCGTTGAGGGAAAAAAAAGTATAATTAAATGATTCCGTCCCGTAGAAAAACAATTTTGAAAGACAGGACACAAGTATCCACCGGGTCCCTTTCCAACCAATTTGGAAGTTTTCAAACTGCATTTCTGTGCTTAAATATGCTGCCGTTGAAAGAGGGCGCTGGCCAGACTCGTTTTTTTGCGTCATCAAGCGCTTACATTACTCGCTCATTTCTAACTCCAAATAAAAGCAGCCAAATTGACATAACTCACTAAAGGGGACCTACAGCTCAGGCTACTGGTGGTACACGTCTCTGCAAATAGGAAAATTCAGGCAGGGGTCGATATAAAAGCAGCCATCGGCAAACAAAAACCCTCTCTATAGACCGGAGACCATACAGTTGTCTGACAGCAGGGAAGAAACAGATTTGCTGCTGTTTCTCCTAATTTCTTTTGGCGCATGTAATAACTTCTTCGGTGGATTACTGACCTATATTTGTAGCCTACTTTTGTGAACTTGATACGCAAGGCTGGACGATATCCTTTCGCTTTTACGTCAGAGAGCGTTAATAGAAATCCCCTAATATGGAGCAAAGCCACACATTTTCAAAGATTTCTCGTGTAGTGGCGAGACTGAACTGAAAAAGCCTGATCACTGTCCGTCGGGATGTAAGATAGGCGCAGCCATCAACAATAAGGGTGACGTTCGTTTTCTCTTAATCTGTTGAACACAACGAGCGACTTTTGCGTTTCTTTCTGCCTTTTCCCACGAAGTTCACCGATATTTGCGCGAACAACAACAAAAAAAACCGTACAGTGAATGACGGCAACTCATGCGTGCACAGCTCTCGGCTCACAGCACAGATCTCAAGACCACACAGCAGCGCCCAGCAAGCAAACAGCCCTGTCAAAAAAACAACTGTCAATCCAAACGACATGCACAGGGCTATCGACCAGGTTTCCCCTCGCATCGCATTATTTTCAGCTGATGTACCGTGCTCGTTTTCGTCTGATAACATCTGGAAGCGATCGGTTAATTGATGCGCTATGCGATTGTTTCATTGTACCTTTTAGAATAAGCAGCGCAAAACCTTTCCATGAGCGCTTTACAGCACATATATGGAACACCAAAATGGACTAGATATCGAATGCCCCTCTGTGTTTAATGGCTCATGTAGTAAAAAAAAATGTAACTAAACCGTGAACCGACACTTCTTGCGATCAGACACCTACATTTCCAAAGGAAATAAGCATGTTCTCTTAAATGTCTTGGAGGGGAAAAACGCTGGATAGGTGCAGAGAGCGAGATCCGAACACACCGCGACCACCCCGGTTTTCTCCCCCAGAATTAATTTTCCTTTGTGCCTGCCAGACACCGACACGCCGAGCCCGGAGGGACGAGTCCACACCCCCCTTCATTCATTCAGCCGGGACAGCGGTTGGGAAGACAGGGCTGATTAAGAAAGTCCAGATCGAAACGCAATCCGACTTCTCGGCGCAAGATTTCAAATCTGACAGGCTAAAGCCTTTTGACGGCCGTCGAACGAGATGAGTGTACAGTACCATCAGTTTTTTTTTTTGTGTATGTGTGACAGATTTCCCCTACTTGGGACACCCGAACAGATGGTGACCGAAATGAAGGGTAAATCTTCCTTTTTATGCAATCCCTCGGCCAAAATAAGGTTCAATTTAAAACATGAAAACAAAATAGCAAAAATGTTTACAGCCCACCCCCTGCAACCCTTAATTTCAAATAAGCGTAATTGAGTAGAACGAAGGGATATTCTGATGTACTTTAGCATCTCGGAACAAGAAATTCAACAAGCAAATCCACGTCAATCTAGTGGCAAGAGAGCTCCTTTTCGCACAGACAAGCGATATAAACCCCTTATCGTACCTGAATCTGGGTGAATCTTTAATGCATTCTTCAAAATCCACCGTCATTTTCGATTTTAGTCCTTCTTCAGTCAGTTTCAGTGTATACAGTTCATTGCCTGGGATTTGTAGGCGAGTAAAAATGTTCTGTGAAATGCGTATTCCCCTTGCTCACAGCGCTAAGTCCACCGTACCCTGCTGTTGCACAGAAACAAGATCCACTGAGCTTGGATGGATCTGTCGAAAACCGAGCTAAGGGACCGTCGCTAAAGATGCACACAGGATTCACAAACAGCGCTCCTGCGATGCCCCCGGACAACAGCGCAACATTGTGTACAGTTGTAGCAAAACAATTACATACTAACGTTAACGCTATGTGCACCGAGAAAAATCGAAGCAGACATTTAACCCAAAACGAAAACTGGAGAAAAGTATTTCTACGTATGGTTTTTAGTGTGCTAAAGTACAACTTTGCTCTGGGTTTTTGAAAATAGAAGAAACACCACATGTTACGTATATATAAATATTATATTATTGTATATATAAATAACACGAGGGGACATGAATTTACCGTTGGAACGGAACCCTAACAATTTCGCTTAGCATCGTTACATCATTATGTCATCCAGAAATACGAGTTAAAATCGAATTCCCTGGCAAAATGTGGTTCGAATACATCATAATTACACAATCCCGCATGTGTTTCAGTGTAATTAGATGTTGTAATCTGCAATACATCCGCACTTCTCCCAGAACTTCTCAGTAGTTATATAGAGTATACAACCGTGTGACTAGTCTATTAAATGGAGCGATGCTATCAGGCTGTATTTAGTGTGCTGTATTTATATGACTGGATAACTTCATGGAGTTAAAGAAATGATATAGGGCAATGTTCTGCGATGTGATTTTGAGAAATATTTGCAGCAGCCCAGAACCCCACTTTCGTGTGCCACGCATTTGCGGGATTGTGAATAATCCAAAAAACGACATTATCGAGATGGTAAAAACTGCGATACGTGTTATGACAATATTGTGAAATGATACGGCGAACGGCCCTCATTGATACGAGTAGTATCATCTGTAGTCATAATTGCTTTTACAAGGTTTATTCCAAGGGTGCGGGCTGGGATTGCAAAGTGTTTAGGGTAATACGAGTGTTAACTGCCAAATACTGTAGCAGCATTATCGCAAATGTTTTATTTCTTAAAAGGCCTCAACACCCACCTTTGTATCTTGAGTTGAAGCAGAACTTTCTCAAAGTTAAAAACTGTGCTCATATTCCCACGGGTGAACATTTCATACGGCATTAGTTTTTTTTAACTAAGGCACTGAATCCATTGTGATACATCCAGAATAAAACATGACCACCCTTCAGATTCAACTGTAATATATGGTTTCCACCAAAATTGTGACTATCCTCCATGTATATGGAAAGATATCTTGACAAGTAAAAATCCCTATTAACAAAATTAATATCTAGATGTTTACGAAAAAAATAAAGCTTTAACATGGGACTTTGATGTTAATTTTAATTTTTTCGCGTTGTCTTTCCTTAAATTTTAGTTTAACCTTTTATAAAACACACAGAACGCAACACTAATTTTTAAAATGTGTCATGCCAATTCCATCTCGGGGTTGCCTTAATTTTTAACACAAAATTCTGCAGCCGTGGGGTGAGGAAATTCAGTGTCCCGTTGTTCAAAGTTTTGACCATTACCCTAACTTGTTTAAGTCGAGACGTCTCACTCTCCTGGCAATCGATGTCGTCATCAAACGTGCAGCCGAAAGTGACTGACGAAGGGCCCTGAAACCGCTCTATATTATAACAGTAGTATGTTGTGGTGGCTGTCAATAATGCCTGTTGTCAAATGGCTAAAGAAAATCTCTTAACCTAATTATTCATTATTACATGGGTATAGTCAAAATATGTCTATCATATTCTGATATAATAATGCTTTCTAATGTCGGTTATAACTACACCAAAATTAAAAGTGTCTAGTTATGCTCAGGCAGTGTGTTTTACAGCCTTTAGGTCTTTTAGCGGACTGTCGTTTTTCATTCAGTTTTTTTTTGAGTTGACCTTGTTGGACGGGTTTTTTTATTAATTGCCCACTTTTTTTTGGCTTTTTTTTCCACTGTTTTGGGAACAGTTACAATACCTGTTCGCTAAGTCTACCGGAACGTAAAATGATGTCTTGCAAAGTTCGGTATCTGATATTTTTCCAGTATTTCGGTTCTAAATATAGGTAGGTTAAGAACTTAGATTTGGTCAGGTTTCTTTATGTACCCTTAAACCTTTAAATCACGGTTGTTTTGTGCGGGAATCTTTCATTAACAGGTGAAACGTTTGTTATTGCATAATCCAGCTTCTCCCTTCTTGCAAACAGTCTCTATTATATAACATACTGAATACACTATGACTAAATGAGACAGGATATAACCCAATTCGTTTCCATTCACAGATTACTGCAGATCTTTACTATATTTAAAATGACATTGTAATCCATAAGGGCACCGCGGAAAGAGGTAGCTCTCCTGGATGCTTGTGTAGGACCCTTGAGTCGGGCAATGCTGTCAGACTGGTTCAGTAATCTCCTCCAATACCCCCAATGACCTGGCAATTTAACATAATCGGCAGCCTGGGGCGCTGTCTGTGTGGAGTTTGTATGTTCTCCCTGGGTTCATGTGGTTTTCCTCCCACAGTCCGAAGACACACTGGTAGGTTAATTGACTGCTGAGAAATGTGTGCATGGTGTGTGTGTGTGTGAGTGAGTGAGTGAGTGAGTGAGTGAATCTGCTCTGTGATGGACTGGCGTCCCTTCCAGTACCCTGCCTCGTGCCTGTTGGTTGCCAGGATAGGCTCTCCTGCAGTCTTGAATTGAAAGAAGCAGACAGTGGATGGATGGACTTGTCTAGTTAAATAAAGGTATAAAAAAGTTACCATCGAAGTGCTTCAGAAATGTAATTCATTGACACCTGTATTAACCATTACAGCTGCTCAAGCCTTATGGAGCACCAGATGCTGCGATATGCCAGCTGAAATATCTTGAGTATGAAATGATGGAATGTGCCAGACATGAGCGCTCTAAATGCACAAAGCCACACAGGTTCACCAGCTGCATCCCCTGACATGGCTAACACCCAGTCTGGTATTGTATAGTAAAGGGTATATATACTATCAGTGTGCTTCCAGCACTGCACTCCAGCAGTGTTGTCAAATGATTGAGGAGGTCCCTGCGAAGTTTTCAGCATTATAAAGACAATACATGAGGTTGACCCTGGCTATGTTTTAATACACACTGCTGCAGGCATAATTATTGTTACCCTCCCAACTCCCACAACTTTATCTTCTAATTAATTAAATATCATATCTTGCTGTTAAAGCAACACTTGCTAGCCCCACTATTTCAAACCACGTCAAGCGAGCAAAACATGAAGAGTTCAATCAGGCATCCAGTTTCAAACTAATACTAGAAAAGGTAATTTCAGGGAGGATGACAAGTTCTTGGAGCACATTGCCAAGCCATTTAATGGAATTGGAGGTACTTTCATGACAAAATTTGACTTGGTAACAGTCTGCAAGGAGATGTGATCTCAGATAAACTGAATGGGCTGTTCTTGTCGTAAAGATTTCCTGTGTTCTTACAACTAGAATTGCTCATCTGAGAACAATAGATCACCTGCTACTACTCATCCATGTAGCCATTGCCTCTATTTAATGTAATGTGTTCCAGGTGATGTAATAGAAAGAAATGGGACATATTTGGTCTGTTAGTATTGTATTGACATATTGTTAGTTTTTACTAGTCCCGTCTCCAATCATACCATATCTGTAATAACATACTATGCTGAAGGCAAGCAAATAGAGCGAATGCATATACACCAAGAATGTAATAATTCCAGTGATTTAGATAAGTGCACCACTCCAATGTCTCCACTGACGTTATTTAGTGCAGGATATTGTGTTAACAAAGTACAATGAATTGAACAACAAGAACTCCAAGTCCATTTTACAGTACATAAAAAGTATACACAGATGCCATTAAGTTGCAAAAAAACAGAGCAAAATAAAGTGTGTTTAAAGTCTTCTTATTTCTCAGGTACCTGATGGTGAAGTATGTTTGTTGGCAATTTTCAGTTCAGCTAGAGTGGCTTATATGGATTTACAGTCCTTTGTTATTTTTTTCCCCTTTAGTGGTGTGATGAGGAGTCCTGCCCACCAAGCAGTCCTAGGTGTTCAGAACTATTTGGAGGTAAGACAAGCAGAAATGGGACACTTTATCAATGAAACAAAATTGCAAAGCACAGCTCACCCAGGCCAATCCTGAATGGAGTGACCCAAAGAATAAGGTTCACTTTTTTTCTGGAGAAAGAGTGGATGTTGGAGTGTTGTATTATTGTAGGAAAAATAGCAGTTGAATAATAGAGGAATAATAGTGTTGTATTATTTGAATTTTTATGAAAGTGTTATTTTGGGACTTGAATGATAAAGAATATCCAAACACCATCTAGAAAAGTACAAGTGACATTGTGTGACTCATGTTGAAACTCATAAAAGGGCTTTATAAAAGCTTCTAATGCTCAATTTTACCCTTTGGGTTACACTTCTTTAATTTCCTAGCCCTACTGTAGAAGCCCAAACCCGATTTCCTTCAAGAAACGACTGGATGAGTTCTTTGGAACAATGAGCTATGAGCCGTCATTTGTGATTTGGTATGACTCCTGCCTTTGTAGAGCTCTGATGTGGAGCTTCTTCCTTGCCTTCAATCCTGGCCAATCATTTTGGAAACTCTTGGTCAAAGTCATGCTGGATTCGAACTGGTGGAAATGAATAGTGAACGGTTCTTGAACAAGGTGTTTACATCAGTCCAGTCATACTCCAGCTCCATCACGTTTTAGAGTTAACTCTCAGGCCTTATTGTGTTAAGACTGGTAATATAGACTAATAAAGTAAAGTACAGATTCAAATAAAGTCATTAGTAGTCCAGGATGGATTAAAAACCAGAAGACTCAGTGACCCTTTAGGACCAGCAGTGTATTTTACACTCTCTGTAGTTTAGGAACAGTTCAGTTCTTTGTGTAGAGAACGTGATAACTTACTGATGATCTTTGTATGGAAAATAAAATTCTTTGGAGTTTGTTTTTGAGGTATCTTGCGATCATCACATCATAACTGTAAAATTAAAATCCAGTTGTAGCCTAGCTGCTAAAGCTAATAACTTCTCTAGTGTTCCAAGTATCACTGATGAATCTAAATATTACCAAAGACACTTGTGCATGTATTTTAGGCTAATAATCCTGTACGTAAAAAGTATGGTGCTCACTTTACTCCAAGTTGTGTAATTAATCCCTTTGCCATAAAAGGTTTACTGAAAGTTTAGCTCCACCAGTTCCTTGATGAGTCAGTCGACAGATACAATCACTTTGGTGCTCCACACCACACTGTTAAGACTAGATGAGTCCCAGCTAAACTGAATTCTCCTTAGATTCACCTCCATTGGTCACACCCAACAGAAGAAAAGAGTATCTATTGAAGTATAATAATTCTATAAAATCAGCAAGACGTGCTTATGTTCCCAAACTCGTTGAGGAAAAACTAACTCTAGGATCACATAAAAAAATACAAATAAAATCTTCATTTTGTTTTTCATAATTTGTGTGGCCGTTTTCTAGAATGTATGGTATAATTGATATATACCACTTTAGAATCTAGTCTAAAATAGCTGTGCAGTGTTAAAAAGCAGATGATAATTATTATTATCATTATTACTATTATATTAACAAGACATTAATGAAGTACAAGGAAACCTTTACACGATGCAACTAATTCTGTTGTTTGAAAATAACTTGTATGTTTTTCACACCTTAAGGTTAGAGACTGGCCATGTGGTTGCTTTGTGGCTACAATCTGAAATTGCTCCTTTCTGAGGTCTTTAACATTTCTAATTATGTGAAGCTGTTGGACTAATTCATCACCATTTGCACTTTTCCTCGGGTGCACTAGGTTTACAGAGGATTTAACTGGAGCCTTCTTGGGGTGGTGGGAATGATCAAGCTAGTGTATTTCCAATCAGGATGGGAAGGGAAAAGCAGTCCAGAAATACTGAATAAATAACTTCGGCATCTCGTTGTGTTTTGAACAGCAATCACACATTTATTGTGAAGCATCTGTGTATACCACAGTGTGTTACTGGCATATATCGGGAGCAGTGGATATATCTGGGGCCTTTGAATATGTAGTGTCTTGGGTTATCAACACTTCAAACAACAAGTACAGGTGTGTGGATGAGTTATCAGAGAAGGTTAACCCACATAGAATCTCAAAATAAATGAGAAGGAAAGAAAAAACTACCTAAAACAAAATACTGGGGATACTTCTTCTGATAGGGCTTTTATACACTCAGCAAAACAACTCACCTTCTTCAGAAAGCAGAATCCATAACACATTGGCCCAAATGACATTGCAAAAGGAAAAATAAATCAAAGTTCTTTTCCAAAAGAATCCTCCTTTAAAAAAAAACCAAACCCAGTCAAAACAAACCTCAGGTCACTTGCTCAGTACAGCAACATTCCTGTTTTTTTTTTTTTTTACCCCTATTTATACCTTCCCATTAGGTCCCTTAATGATGATGACATCACTGGGATTTCTGGGAAATGTAGTGTTTTGGGTTCTGGTCTCCTCCAAGCATCCACAAAACACTGGGTATTTGAATTGATATACTGTCTGGTCAAAACCCTGCCCATTATAGATCTACACTATTTGTTTTAAATATTTAAATACATATATTGATCATCTATACATTTTGAACACTGGAGATGTTTAAAAGGCTTTTTGCTCTCTGAATAAAAGGTGAATGTTCACTTAATTGGCTGAGTCTGCTCTTGGGGTTTTCATTCCACAGTAAAGTACTTTAAAACAAAAAATGTTTTATATTAATGTTAAGCTTGTTATTTTTAAAAATCCTTTTGCACCAAGCAGTACCATCCACTCTAGATTCCAGTAATAATATTCCAATAATTTGTATAATACATGTACGTCTGCTTGATAACAGGGGATACCACAGTGGTGTGACAGTCAGCAGTGCTGTTGTCTTCCATCTCTAGGGTCCAGGCATTGACTATGGGATGGGCCCCTTCTGTGTGGAGTTTGAATGATCTCCCCATTTTCAAATAGTACTCTCCCACCTAGACAAGACAGGCTAGTAGGATTATGGGCTCTGCTAAATTGCCTTCTCCAAAAAGAGCATAAGTAGGGCTCAGCTTCCACGAAATGACCATGCAAACCCCAGTGTGACTGAAATACGAATCAGGTAAAGAAGAGTCCGTTTGATAGCAGAAACACATTACAATTTCATCCATTATTATAAGCAATGTATCATTAAAGTTTGTAGGGGACTTTAAAAACTGAGAGGGTAGAAACTTTATGTATGATCAACTGCAAGTTTTGCCTCTCGGAACATTTATCAATGAACACAAAGAGCTGTGTATTTGAAGGCCTACACTGCATCTTTGTTCTTGAAACGAGCGGCTTCCTTTGTAACAGAAGTCTCTGGGAGCCCAGCTTGCGAACAGGGCTTCTGTCCATGAAATTACAGCCACGTATCTACTGAAGCCTGCTTCCAGTCTCAACAGTTTGGATAAAGTGTCACTATGGCCATTTACAGAACATCTTCGGTCTTCTCCCGGATCGTGAGCAATAAATTACCCTTTTGTTGAATTGCAAGGAAATTGGAAGGATAAGATCACTTTATTGGCCTTATACAATTTCTTGTATTAGGAATTTGCCTTTTCACCTACCCCAGCTTGCTCTCCATGAGACACACAGACTGGGAGAGAAGCTTGGGGTCAGAGTGCAGGGTCAACCATTGTACAGTGCCCTGGGGTGAAGGGCCTTGCTCAGGGGCCCAACAGAGTAGGATTCCTCTGCCAGCCGCGGGATTTGAACCAGCAACATTCCAGCCACAGGCGCAGATCCTTAGCCACAGTGCCACCACTCTGCCCAAAAGGCACTGTTGGGATTCGAACCCAGGATCTCCTGTTTACTAGGCAGGTGCTTTGACCAACTAAGCCACAGCGCTGCTATGCAAATCTCTGCAAATGATGAATGCAAATCTCTTTACATTCATCATTAATGTGCTGACATCCACCTGTCCTTAGAAACCAAGAGACTTTTTGTTTACACATGCTATTTAGTACGACCTCCTCTAATTCTGCAGCAATGGCGATATAAACATAGAGCTTAATTACATGGATAATTACAGTGCATACTGAATTCTGTACACAACTGAAAAATGTGTATGTAAGCTTTTTTATTTCATTTTATAAATGTGATCACTTGATGTTTATGTGTGGACAAATGGGTTTTGTCAGTATAATGAGCAAGTATGGGTTTATTCCATGCTGAAAGGAGAAGAAAAGAAACACAACGTTTAGGCTGTGGAGCCTTCTTCAGGTGTGAAGTTTGGGTGTGGGGTATACCTACTGTATACCCCGGCATTTGCAAAGTATGTAGGCTCCTGGAGTTTGGATACTGGATAATTTGGGATTGATGCCCATTCATTGCCTCAGTACAAAAGCTAAGGGAGGCTTTGCTCCTTCTTTGAGCTTTCTTACGCTGGGATCTCACAGTTCTTTCAGACTCGTCTGGAGAGAAGATGAAATGGTCTGTTGTTGTGCCACAGAGCTGCGGTTTGATCTTCAGATGTACAGCTGATTACTCAGTAGAAATGTCCTACTTTTCATGTGGCTGGGCCTGAGGCAGACTGCTGGGCTGTGTTGCCTACCACATGGAGGGTCTCAAAGCAAACCAAGTGTCTGGAGGGCACATGGAATCGGCTCAACTTCCGTACCTTAGGAATGGTTCAGTGTCTTTGTTGACTCTGAAGAAAATGGAATGAAGGCAAGAGGAGTTTTTGTGTTCTGGGGAATTCAAGACAAATGGAACAAAAGAGTTGACCTTGGCAGTTCAACCTTTGTTGTGGTCTGCTATTTGTCCAAAAATGGACAATTCTCACTAGACGGAAAGAAAACCTGTTTTTTGTGCCTTTTGCCTCCCTCGAGTCTTCTATAATCAAATCTTATGTGACAACTTGGGATGTGCTGAGATGTTCTGATTTAAGTGTGAGGATAAATTCTCTTTCACTTGAATTGTGAAAGGAAGAATCGTCAAAGGACTGCCCCATTAGTAACCTAGTTCATTATTTTGATAGCTCCTGAGACTTAATTCCAGTTACGTTTTCTGTATTTTTTATTT